CCCAGAGTGCTCAGCCTGGAGGGGGAGAGGTCGTGGGGAGGTCACGACCCTGTGCCCTCAGGTCTGGCCAGGAAGGATGCTAGCAAGAGAAATCGGAGCTAGAGACCCTTTGTCTTCCGGAAATTAAGCTTCTATAATTTATTTTTACTTCTTTATATTTTGGTTTGATACCTGCCCCCTTTGCTCTAAATCCTATGGGGCAGGTTCCGTGTCCGCGGCAGTCTCCCCAGTACGGGCAGCAGGGCCTACCGCCTAGTAGGTGGGTTCTGGGTCAGTCTGATGATCAGCAGCTGGAGGCCCCATGGTGAGGGGTGAATGCTGACAGCAGATCTGCCAGATGAGGGCTGGGGTGGGTGGGGTAGGGTGCATCTGTGAGTAAAGCCCTGAGAACACAGGGGTGCCCAGGAGGAAGGAGAGGGAAGTCACCAGAGGCTTCCTGGAAGAGGGGGCACCTGACCTGAACCTCAGAGGAGGGCCGAGCGTTAGGGGTCAAAGACTGGAGAGGTGGTTCCTGGAGAGAAAGCGACAGATGCAGTGCCTTGGGGACCCACAAGCCCGGGCCTGTGGGGCTGCCGCAGGGGTCAGCCGGGCTGCGGGTCCCACCCTCACGGGGGCAGCCTGGAGGACGGGGTACAGTCTGCCCTGTGCTGGGGTGGGGCTCCCTGGGGCTGTTGCGGGGAGGGAGGGTCTGAGAGATCAGAGAGCAGGCAGGAGGCCGCTGCGCCGCTCTCCAGAAGGAGGAGGAAGCAGAGGCCTGCCTTGTCGGATGGACGCTGACTGGATGGACGTGAAAAGGGGGAGGATCTGAGGGCAGGGCCGGTAGGCAGACTCGCTGGAGTCCGGTGACTGTGGGCTGCTGCTGGGAGCGAGAGCAAGGAAAAGTCCAGGGTGGCGGTGGTGATGATGACGATGGTGAAGATGATGGTGACGATGATGGTGGTGAAGATGCTTCCAGCCAGCGTCTGCTGAGTGTGTACTTGCCAGACACTGTGCAGTGCACTTCTCACGCACCCTGTCCTTCGAGCCTCACTGGGATCCACCCAAGCAGAGGCTACACCTGTCCCTGTCATATGGAGGAGAAAACAAAGACCCAGAGAAGCTGTTTCGTGGCCAGAGCCACGTGGCCAGTGTGTGGACAACCCAAGGACGGTCACACTTGAAGAGCCATGCCCTTGACCATACCTGGTGCCGCCCCTGGGGTTTCCATGGGGGTTGGCCGGGTGACGGTGCTGCTGCCTCCATCCTGAATCCGAGAAACGGAAGGGGAACGCGTTTGATGGGTGGGGGGATGACAAACGGGGTTGAGCCCCATGGAGCTGGACAGGGCTGCTGCGGATAATTCCGTGAGATCCAGTGGGCACCTGCAGGTCAGGAGGGCGGCTCTAAGGGGTAGACTTAGGAGGCATCAGCCACAGATGGTTGAAGTCGTGGGGGTGAATGAGCCATCCCAGAGAGCCAGAGCGTGAGGACAGGCCAGGGCACACCCCCGGGCCACACGTGTCCTTTGGATAAGGCCTATCTGGGGGTCCCTGGAAGCTCGGTGAGGGTGGGGGCCTCGTTAGGGTAAGGGAAGAAATGCAGCGACTAGGGGAGAGGTGAACCTACTGTTCTAGGGGCCCCAGCTCCCCAGAGAGAAGGAAGAGTCACCAAAAGGGATGTGGGGTCCCGAGAGCTAGTTTTTCTTTCTTTCCCTCGTTAAGACCAGAGAGACTGCAAGAGTCATACTGGAGGGATGGAAGTGGTAGAAAGGATGAGTCAGGTGGGATGGGAGAGGGGAGAAGGGATGGGACACCATCCTGGAGGAAGCCGGCGGGGTGAGCGAGGGCATCCGCCTTCAAAAAGAGCAGAAACACCACTTTTGCGTCCAGAGAAAAATGCAGGTTTGACTTCACCTTGAACAAGACCCAGGGATCTCAGAAAGGCAGGATCTGGCCCAGGGCTCCAGGTACTGTGCTCTAAACCCACGGCCAGGTCTGCACAGAGCCATACTTCACGCAGGCGGCTCCCAGCCAGACCTAGGGTAGCAGGGGCTCGTTCCCAGGGAACCCACTTCCGGGAGACGGGGGGCTGCTCGGACGGCTGACCTCGGTCAGAGCCTCCACAGGGCCCTCACTGACCTTTCTGCAAGGCAGTCTTGGATCCTTTTCACCCTGCCTTTCCTCCCTCTGTCCTTCCCTCGGGGCTCAGACGTGCCCTCTGCCTGCCGGCTCCCCCCACCTTCCCCAGCCCCCCTCCTGTTTCCAGGAGTATTTTCTCTCTTAACAAAACCCCCGCATGACGAGTCCTTCTGGCGTCCGCTTCTTGGAGGACTCAGGCTCACGCAGCCACCCACGGGCACAAGTGGAGGAAACCAGAAAAGCAGAGCCCATCTGAGGGGCCCTCAGATGCCCAAGGAGACCTCGGTGGGTTTGATAGCAGAGTCCGGCTGGAGGAGACCTCAGGAAGACAGATGTGAAGACAGACAGATCGACAGGGGGTGGTGGCCAGTGGCAGAGACCCTGAAGGGTTCCCAGGCGATTCTCAGAGCCGGAAGGGAGTCAGCTCCTGTAGCTAGGACGAGCTGTGTGGGGGGATCATGCAGAGGGGAGGTTCGACAGAGCCCGAGGGAAGAGGAAGCCCACAGGGGTTGTGAGAGACGAGTGGGAAAGAGGAGGGAGAAGTCTCGGGGGTGGGAGGGCTGCACAGGACCTTGATGACCTTGAGAGAGTCTCTGGATTTTGTCCCAGCCGCCCCTGCAGGGTTCTGGGCTGGGGCACGGCGGGACCTGTTTACATCTCAGAAGGACCACTCTGGCTGCTCCCGGAGGTGAGCAGGACAGGACAGACCAGGGAGGAGGCTCCAGGGGTCTCACGGGCAGCAGGTGACCGGGCCTAGAGCAGGCGGGCGTGCACAGGTGCGGTGGATGAAAACGCCCCCTCGGGTCGCCTCTTCCGAGAAGCAGGGACATGGACCTCCCCCGCTTTTTCTGTTTTTTAAAACAATTTAATTAACACAGAGTGTATTATTACTTTCACAGGCAGAGTTCAGGGACTCATCAGTCGCACAGAACACCCAGCACTCACTCCATTGCGCGCCCTCCTCAACACCTGTCGCCCGGGGACCCCATCATCCCCCACTTCCCTCCCTCCAGCCACCCTCACTTTGTTCCCTAGAGTTAAGAGTCTCTTATGGTTTGTCTCTTTCTCTCTCTCTGTTTTCCTCTTATTTTTCCTTCGAGGGGATCATGCTTTTATCTATGTATTGGAAAGGCAGACAAAAGAGGCGAGGACATTAAAAGATTAATTATAAAAACTGACTTAAGAAAACTCTGCACGTTTCAGAAGGCAAGCAGCAGGAATCACTCACGGCATCTGACTTCCCGCACCGCCTGCAAGTGTTATCTTTGCCAGCACGGTATTTTCAAACACTTTATTTTGTATTTTTCTTAATAATCAACTGATCCCCGGCCCCCCCTTCGTGCAACACTCTGTCCGTCCGGCAGGACCGGTCTTAACAAACGTTTGCCTTTTTGAACAAAACCGTGTGGCATACATTTTTATTAAATCATAGAAAACTCATTTGTATACAAATTGTTCTGCTTGGGGGAAACTGGAAGAATGGAGTAACGAAACAGTGGAAAGATACATGTTACTTTAAGCAGAGACCAAGTGTCGTCACATTTATTTGTAGAAAACGTTGAAACGATCCACAATAATTGGCTGTCGGCTTTCTTCACCCTTGGGCCGGAGGAAGGATCTCTCTCACGGCCCCCGTTCTCCGAGAGGGTGTCTTTCATGACTTAAAGCCACTGTCAAGTTTATAAGAGACGGGTCGCCTTCAGCCTTAACGCGACGTCAGTTTCTCTCTCCCTGCCACAGGCTTTCCGGGTACAGCAGATGCCGAATTTCGAGGGACGGTCTTTTCACCGGACCCACAGACCCTTCCTTTCACAACAGCAGATGTGTGTAACGTGTGGAATAGATTTCAGAATAAGTTAAATATTAAGACGTACAGTATGGCAGTCACTCCCTACTTCTCTTCTACCGTGTACACTGGAGAGTTCCTCCTAACCTTACACATTTATAAAAGGACGAGGGCTGAGAGACCCAGCGATTCTCAAGATCAGAACCACATTCTCTCAACGCTTTGGCTGAATATTTACAGACGGTCCTGCACGCCCTCCACAGGGGACCGAAATGGCTGGGCTCCAAGGTTCACTGAATGGAATCGGGCAGCCTCGCTCTGCCCTCGAGCAGAGACCCAGAGGTCACGCTGTGACACGTCTGCACTCACCCCAATGACTCACGTAACAAACAAAAATTAAATATTACCAAAATTATTTTAAATTAAATTGAGGACCACTACGTTTAAGTGCATGAAAACTGCCCCCCAACCCCCCGACCAGCTTCCTGAACGCTTGCTGCACAGCGAGCACGGACATCCTCGTCACCTTGTTCCTGTGTGCTGGAAACCCACCTGCTTCCTCTGGGGACTCCCTGGAGGTCCATGAGACCCCTGAAGGGGAAAACACAAAAACAAAAGCAAAAGCAACTCTCCTCTCCCAACGGAGGCACAGTCTCAAAAAGCCACTTCACCACCCCTGAGTCTGGATTTCAGACTCAGTAAAAGCAGGAATTGAAAAAAAAAATGTCATCTTGGGGCCTGGCTCCTTGACCTGTTGGTGGCTGCCTGCTTCCCCGGGACACTCAGCCGACCCTTCACTTCGAGCTCCCCCAAGATCCTGGGCCCCCCTCTCGGTTCACAGACCTGCCACTCTCCCCGGGAAAAGCCGTGTTTCTGCCAGTGTTTGTTATGTCAGGGACAAGCCCCTGGGGCTACGAAAAATAACAGGAAGGGCTGCCCCCCAGAGCTGACTTCCTCCAAGACGAGAAAGTCAGCTCTAAGGCCTTCTGCCCGGCTCGCCTCAAATGGTATTCAACGAAATGAGAGACCTTTCTCTGGACCACCTTGTTCCTGAATGAGGGCCAACAGCTCCCCTCGCCCTCTCGGCCACCATCCTGTTACTGGAGGTGACTCGGGGACGAGGCCAGGCTTTTATGCAGGTTGGGGTTCTGGCTGTGCCTGTTGCGGCTGCGGACAGAGGAGAACATGGTGTTGCAGCCCGGAACCTTGCATTTGTGGAGCTGACGGAGGTGCACGGTCTTGTAGTGAGCCCTGAAGGTCCCTTTATTACTGTATGTCTTTTGGCAGAGGTGACACGTGATGGGCAGCCCAGAAGGCAGGCTGGCGAGGCTCTGGTCGGCCTTCTCCATCAGGACGCAGATAGGGTACTCGTCATCCCCGGGGACAAGGCTCGGCCCGTCACAGGTCCCATCGCTGTCCTCCATGAGCATGGTGCCTTCCTCACTGGCCCCGTCTGAGTCCCAAGAGGAATGGCTGCTGCTCTCCGACTTCATGCTCGAGGTAGTGCTCAAATCCAAGACGGTGCCGTCGCTCGGCGGCCCGGAGTTGTAACTCTCCAGGCCGGCGCTGGGGACCTGGGCGATCGGGTAAACCAGGCCGCCCATCCGACTCGCTCCCTTGAAGATGACAGATGTCTGGGAGGTTTGCTGCGCAAAAGCCACGTCCTGGAAGGTCTCCTTCGCCACGTCTTTCAGAAGGTAAGCTGCACGGAGATGGTCGTCAGGGCTCCCCAGTGCGTCCTGGGTCAACACTTTTTGGTGGAGGTTTAGGTTTGAACTGTGTCTATAAGAGTGAACAGATGGTTAGCAGTGGGTTGGGCTGTTGTTGTAAAAACAGTCATCATTCTGAGTGGAGACACTAGGTGGATACCAGAAAAATTTTGTGGTGCAGGAGTGACCACAGCGGGGATGGGATGAAATGCGTGTCCAGGGGACACTGGCCCCGGGCTGTTCACTGCCTGTTGGAAGTTAGCACTGACCAGGAAAGCTGGCTGCCCGGAAGCTGGGAATATGTAGTCCTTCTTACTTTCTACCATGTGACGGACACGTAACTTCCCGCACCTCATCTACAGAGAACTGCGAGCCTGCTCCCAATCAGGTCAGTTCCCCTGGGACACTGGAACTGGTCCCAATATGGAGTTAAGCAGAGGACTTCACTGCAATGAAACCAAGAAATATCTTCTAGAGTGCCCCTGTCCAGTAGGATAACTACTCCCAAGGGACACGGGAGCTCCCGAAACGTGGCTGTGTCAGACACAGAAATGATGGCTTGGGATAGACTGAATGAAACAAAATACGTTATTAGGAATTACTTCACCTGTGTCTTTTTATACTTTTTTAAAAATGTGGTTAGTAGAAAATTCTAAACTGTCTGTGTGCTATCAGGATCTGTAACACTCACACTACCTTGACCCCCAGAAGTGCTATAGGAGAGAGAATCTGATTGGCTAGACATTGTGTGTGTGTGTGTTTGTGTGTGTGTGTGTGTGAGAGAGAGAGAGAGAGAGAGAGAGAGAATTTAAGTTCACTTCGTATTTGCAACGTTTCAGAATAAACCAGACAGGAGTTTTGCAAATGCAGCACTGAACCCACCACCAATCTTCTACCCGATGATTACTCCCGAATGGCAGGTAATGAGTACCCATGATGACACACGCTTCTCGCTCACACAGTATCATTTGGATGTAACTTGGCCATCAATGTCGGCCTTGCTCAGAGATCCCCTACTGACCTCGGACTCTGACACAAATTGCCCTTACTGCCGGGGGACAAGCTTACAGGTGAGAGAAAAACGATTCCAAACAGAGAAATTGCCTCCCCTCCCCCACCCGTACAGATGAGGATACCTGCCAGGACCACCTGGGGCGGGGGGGGACACCCCCACCAAAATAACTAAGAATTGAGTTTGCTCTTTGAAACCTCGGAAGATACAGTGGGGCTGGGGGTGGGTGGAAATTGCATCCTAGTTCCTAAAACATATTGGATCTGCTATTCAACGTCTCTCTTCTATCCCTTACGCATTCTTTTTCTGGACATAATCAGAACCGTGCTCCCAGATCACCCACTCTGCAAACAACTCTTATCAACGGCAGCTCTGCCCTGTGATTATGTCAGCGTTCCGGGTGGAAGGGGCAGGTATGTGTCGGCAGAAAACCAGACACTGGACTGACACGCAGGTCCTGGCACATAAGTGGTTGGCAAAAAAAAAAAAAAAAAAGTCAGACAGACACATTTACCGGAACCTTGCATGGGAAGGTCCCTGTGGCAAGAAAGCCAAGGTCTGGGCTCGAGTCCCCCAGGAACACCAGGAGCAAACCTGTGGGATCCCCCGACCTTCTCCTTACACCCTTGGAGGGTCAGGTGCATTTCCCCAGGTGCCACGTCTCCTAAAACCAGTGACGACCACAACTGCAAAACCCTCTGGGCCGCGTGCCAGGTTTCCTGCTGCTTTGGGGACTGTTAATGCCATGAATTCCCATCCCCACCCCCCATCTCTGCCTTGTTAGACCAGTGGTCCTCAAAGTGCGGTCTGGGTACCCCTCATGGTCCCCGAGCCTCTTTCAGGGGTGCCCTGAAGTCAAAACTCCTCTCATCATCGAGATCCTAAGACACGATCTTTTCCACTGTCTTTCCTTCATGATACCGTGTGTGGTTTCCAGAGGCTACGTGACATGCAGTATTGGAACAGGATGAACACAGAAGCCGCTGTGAGAAGCCAGCTGTTCTCTGCTAAGCCAGACGTTACAGAGATGAGCAAAAATGTCAAACAAAGCCACTCTTCTCACTGAGTTTTTGGGTTGGAAAACGGGGCTATTTTTCATTACATGTTATGTATGTTTCCCCCCTTTTTTTTCATGTTAACATATAATAGGTTTATTATTTTAAGGGATGAAATAAATATTAATTTTTTTCAGTTTTGGTTTCTAATGCAGTAAACATTGATTGACACTTATAAACTCAAACACACAAAAGTTCTTGAGGGCCCTGAGGTTTCAAGAATGTGTAAAAGGGCTTCTGAGACCAAAACATCAAAGAGCTGCTGGTTTAGTCATGCCCCTTCCTCCAGGAAGCCCTCCCTAACTTCTCAAAAGAGTCTAGTCAGGGGCCCCGGCTCCTCTCTCTTCTTAATACAGCGGCTACTGCATTTAGCCGTAATCACATTTTTATTGCTGTCTCCCCCACTGGCCTTTGCAAGCAGGGACTGTGTCCACAGCACCTCACAGAAGGTTTTTAAATATTTTTTGGCTAAATAAGCATTCAAGGCACAGCTCCAATCCCTTCCTGAGGGGTCCCAGTGACTGCTGATGGCAGCGGCTTCAAGAGGGGAAGACAGCTGTCTAGACAACACAGTTCTCATCCTGACCCCAGGCCTGTCAACAAAGCTCTTCTCAAAATGGTAGCATTTGGGGGCGCCTGGGAGGCTCAGTTGGTTGACCGTCTGCCTTCAGCTTGGGTCATGAACTCAGTCCTGGGATGGAGCCCCGCGTCGGGCTCCCTGCTCGATGGGGAGGCTGCTTCTCCCTCTGCCCCTCCCCCTGCTTGTGTGTGCATTGTCAAAATAAATAAATAAAATCTTAAAAAATACAAAATAAAATAAAAGGGTGCCATTTTAATCTGATTCTAAACATTCCAAGTTCTAGACCACCAGAATTAGCAGTCTACATTTATAATTCAAGACGCTTTCCTATGGTGGGAGAGCAGGCCTGTGTCTATAAATAGCTCAGAATATAAGAAATATTAAATACATGAAAAAAAATAAAACGAAGGTGTACGTTAAATTCAGCATGCCTTCTAATGCAGTGCACGCTGTAGGCCAGCAGAGGATCATGATATCAAGGATGATCCGATTGGTGGGACTGTCTCTGTCAACGTAAAGCTTGCTCATGAACAACCACGTCTGCGTAACGCGTTTGTCTCCCTTCCCAGGCTGTGGCGATGTGACTCGAGTTCATGAAGAAAAGCACGAGAAAGACAGTGAGGCCAGTGCCGTGTCCCAGACTGATGAGAGAGCCACCCTGCCTGGGCACTCTGCAAACAGCGTGACACCGTGTGGGCCTCAGGGACACCCCCCACACAAAGACATCTCAGCTTTTAACCCACATCACAAGCCCTGCAGTAACCTGCTAACACGTGCCTTTCGTCTCTGCTACCTTGATAACGACAAATTCTCTGACCACACAGTTCTCCTTCCGTTCGAACAGAGCTCGTTAACTGGACTTAGGAGAAAGGGCTTCGTATCATAAGATGAAAAGTGGACAAGTTCTGTCGTCTGTGGTGATGATTTAACCCTCCCCTCTCAGGAGACTAGCTCACGATTACTCATCCCAAACCATCTGCTCTAGGTATGTTTCCGAATTCAGAGTTTCTCAAGCTCTAGAAAGGCAGAATGGTGCATAAACCATATTGTTTTTTCATGTCCCCGTAATAAATCTGTGAGTATTTCTGCACTGAACACATAATAAAGGAAATCCACACAAAGGGAGATTTAAGAAAAGACAGACTGCCCATAGCCTCACGTCCTTTCAGGTCAGGGTTGGAGGTCAAATGACTTTAGATCTGAATCCGAGGACTCAGGCACGGGGTGTAGGGGTCAGTGTTTCTCAAACTGTGGTCCCTGGACCAGCAGAAGGACCACCCGGTGACTCAGAAACGCAAACCCTCAGGCCTCATCCCACCCCTGCAGAAGCGGAAAGCCCATGGGCAGGGCTCGGAAGGATGTTTTAACAACCCTCCCGGTGGCTCGGGAGCTCGCGGAAGTTTCCGAACCACCGCCTTGGAAGAAAGGACCTGCGTCTTACCTGTCTCTGCTCCTGCGCGAGGGGAACGTGGCCTTACAGCCCTCCACGGTGCACACGTGCGTCCCTCTGGCATGCATGTTCTTGTGGTGCATTTTCACGCCGCACGCATTTTTGAAGGCCTTCTTGCAGATGTCACACTGGAAGCGAGCTTCTTCCTTCTGCCGCCCGGACGCACGCGGACCCACGGGTTCTGGCTCCTTGGCGTCTTCGAAACAAGGAAAAGCCACTCCTCGGCCAGACAGGGCGCCGAGGAGCCCGCCAGCGAGCAGGCGCTGCTGCAGGCTGATGTAGTCAGGGAAGGGGGCGCAGGGCTCCGTCCCGGCTGCGAGGTGAGGTTCATGGCCACTGTCCTGCGGCTCCCTTGGCACGGCGGGCAGGGCTGGCTTCTGTTCCACCTCCCTCTCTGGCGGCCGTGTGGCCCACTCGGGGCTCCTGCGGATAGCCCCGCCGGACTCCAGCCCTGAATCCCCAGGGCAGACCCTCTCTCCTCCCGGGAGAGGCCCCCCCAAGCCCCCAGACAGCGCGCACGGCTCCTCAGGTGCTCTGTCCGACGCCCGGGGGCTGCCGGCCTCGGGCTCCTCCTCGCTGGCCACCCGCAGGGGCACATCTTCATCGGAGCTGAGAGCGAGCCGCTTGTCGTTAGCCGCCCCCACGGCCTCCTTCTCTATTTTGATGGGCATGCTGGACTTGCGGGATTTCTTCTTGGGAAGGGCGTCCAGCGGGCCGTCGTGCGGCGCCAGCGGCTCCGGGATGGAAGAGGACAGGAGCGGGAGGGAGGGCAGCATGCCGGGGGTGTTGGCCAGCTCGGCCGGGGTGGCCGGGCTGCGGTAGAAAGGCAGGACCGGCTGGACCGTCTTCAGGTTGGGGAAGAGCACCCCATCCGGCCCCAGGCTCGGGAAGGCCGGCTGGCCCCTGGGGTCCTCCCCGGACGCCACGTAGCCAGGCGGGGGCCTGCAGTCCGGAGACGTTGCGGGGAAGCCCGGGTGCTCGTAGCTGTCCGAGGCGGCCAGGTGCAGGCTGGTTCTCAGGTCCCGGTCCCTGTTGTTCCTGTTCATGGGCATGTGCAGTCGGGGGTTGGGGTTCGCGCTGTGGCGGTTCCGGCTCCGCAGGGAGCTGAAGACCATGTTGCAGCCCTCGATGGTGCACTTGTGCTTGATCTTCAGGTGGACGGCGTTGTAGTGGATCTTGAGCGTGCCTTTGTCGTAGAAGGTCTTCTCGCACGCCGTGCAGAACACGCGGCCCTTCTTCGAGCCCAGGCTGTGCCTCTCGGGCTTCCCTTTGGCCTCGGGGGACAACTGGGTCCTTTCAAGCTTCGGGACAAGGTGGTAAGAACCCAAGTCGCTTAAATGGGCGCCATCTTCCTTTTTGGGAACGGTGTCCGGGCAGTTGAGACACGGCTCTTTATCGACCTGAAATGACGCAGGAGCAGAGGTCAAGAAGCCACCGCCGCCACCGCCGGGGAAGGGTCCGTGCGTCTCCTGCTTGGGCTCCTGACTCTGGTCCTGACCCGGCTCCAGCACGTACTGCTCGGGCAGTGACCCTATCAGCGTGGGGGGCACAGGGTTGAAGAACTGGAAGGGCAGCATGAAGGTCATGTTGTTTACGAGGTTCTCAAAGGGGTGCAGGCTGCTGGGGGTCCCCCTGTCCGCGGGGGCGGGGAGGCCGGTGCTCCTGTGGCTGCAGCTCTCGATGAACGCCCTGATGTCCACGTTTGCCGCGGCTGGTGGCATGACAATGGACTGCTCCTCCTTCTCCTGGATGGCCATGAGCTCCACGATGGCCTTGGTCTCCCCAAAGCGAAGGAACTGCTGCAGGGCGGCCAGCTCTTCCTCGCCGGTCATGATGTTCCAGCGATCCAGCACCTTTCCCGACGCGTCCTAGACCAGAGGCACAGACTGCAGTTAATTTACTATCCCACACCCTCTTCTCTGTGCGTATCAGAAGGGGGCACCCCATCAAGTCAGCCCCCCTGCTCACGCTACTCTCCCAGGCCAGAGCCCCACGTAGAAGACTGACCACACAGATGTAAGCAGGGCTCTGAAAGAGAGAAGATGGTAGGACTCTGGCCGAAGGGACATGGGGTGATTATTTTCCATCTTATTTCAAACCGATCGGTTGCTCCTGCATTAGATGTCATCCTTTTCCCCAATGAAACGAAAATATGTATCGTTCAAACGGTAGTCCCTTCTTCATCTCAGGAGGAGAGAGGGGGCAGTCAGACCTAGACAGAGCTCAAGTATTTATTTGCTGCAAGTTTAATCATCTTCCCCCAGCAACTAACCTCAGAAAACAAATGAACCCGTATTGATCTACTGCCCACGTTCACAAAGCAGAACTGTAATTACGCTGGCGTGCTGGAGATCTTTCAAAACCCTAGCAAGGCCTAACTTTTCCCAAAACTACAATAAATATTTTATCACAGAACATGTATTTGATGGCCTACTGAGATTTTGCACAATGCATGGAAAAGTTCTGAAGATGACGAGGGATGTAACATCATAAATTTTTGATGTGCTAGAGGTTCAAGGTAATTGATTCCATATTTTTAATCCTAACACTAGAAAGCAAGATTATTAGGATCATTAAATATTGATCTATGTCATAATGTAGGATCATAATGCTGCTTTACATAAAAGGGTGCTTCTAGCCTGCTGGGGGTCCTGCACCGGAGGTGAGCAAACACCCCTCCACAGGCCAACCACGGGCTTCAGAGTTAGAAAGAAACAGGTTCCAACCCTGGGTCTGCCATCACAACCCGAGTGACGTTAGCCAAGATTCAGAAGCACTCTGAGCCTCTGGCTTTTCAACGTGGAAAATGGGAATGATTTCCTGGCCCTGGGAGACTTTATTGGAGGAGGGTCCAGTAATTCCAGCTGAAAAAAGCCCGAGTGCTTGTGTTGATGACATAGCCTGCCTGGGGTAAGACTCAAGCATACGTTAGCCCTGGTAGTATATTCATCCCCCATTTCATTGAAATTTTGACATTTTCTCGTAGTGTCAAGGGGAAAAAAAAAAAAAAAGCTGTCACTGCTTCCTACATCAGAGAAATGATATAATTTGTCCCAGGAAATATGTTCTTTGCCTGTGGATATGAAACACAAGGGCCTACCCCCATGATGTGGCCTAGAAGGACGTAAGAGTACTCCGCAGAGTAACAGACGGAGAATTGGTGAGAGGCACAGGGGAGGGGAGCAGAGAACACATGCAGAGGCCAGCGGGGAATCGAGGGGAGTGAGAACAATCAGGAGCCAGAACACAGACGTATCACAGGGTGATGGAACCCGGGAAGGAAGGCCAGCTTCTGCAACGTGCTTCTGGAACATTCGGTCCTCTCTCACTCCCACACCCTCAGTAAGACCTGGCACAGACAGCGCCCTGGGTCCATAGGTGGCCAGTGGATAGTGACTGGGGCCAAGGCTTTGCTGTGGGAGAGCTGGCTTAGTGAGACCCAAATCACAGAGTGTGTCGTGCTCCCATGTCTGGAAGTTTCCCCGGTATCTGGAAGAAAGCACTGGATTCTTCCCTGAATGTGAAGTGGGGGCTTAAGCCATTACACAAGGAAAGGATGCCCTTTCCTCCAAAGGACTGGAAGAGACATCCCAGCGGAACCACGGCCGTGCTCCCCTACCTGCAGCACGTATCCCCGGATATAGTCCTGGAGGGTCCAGTCCAAGGCGTGCAGGATCTGGAGCACCTCGTCCTGCTTCAGCACACTGAAGAGCCGGTCCAGTAGGATTTTCAGGCGCACAGGGATGGCCTGGGTCCCGTAGAGCATGAGGCTGCTGATATCGAACACCACATTGGACTGGACAATCTCCACCTGGCTCGTGGGGTACATGGGGGGCACCCTCAGCTTGCTCAGAGCTGAAAAAGCAAATCGGAGAAACACCCTTCATGAAGATTCTCCTTCTCGGAGAGACGCTGCGCGGGGGCGGGCTAGCAGCAGTGCTCGGCTCTGCGTTCTGACAGGGAACACACGACCGTGCGCTTGGGTCGCAGTCCTCCCGGCTACCAGGCTCTACGTCATCCACAGAGACTTAGATCTGCGAAAAAACGGACTGGCCCGAGACTCTTCCTTTTCTTCCTTCCCTGCCCCTAAGAAGTGAAAAACAGACGCGTGGAGGGCAGGTGCGAGGAAAGGGCGGCGGGCACATGATCAAAAGGCTGAAAAATCAGGAAGGATGGGGTCTGCTGGTGAAGAGCCCGGCTTGGGGAATCGGACAGATCCGGGTCTGGCCCCTCGTCTGCCGCGTCCTAGCGGTCAGGCAGGGCCAGTTAAGCCACCAGAATGGACGCTGTCCCATGCGACAGTCCGTTGCTCACGGCTATGCGGTTTTGTAACATTTTTAATTTTATGGAATGATTTTTGCCTTATTAAATTATTTTAATTCTGAAGTTAAACAAAATCAGAAATTCAGTCCTTCAGAGTCCCGCCGGTCACATCTCAAGCACTCAGCAGCCAACCTGGGACTCAGCATGGGATCGCGGGTTCAGCCAATGAAAATACGGGACGCCCGGTTACATGCGAGCAGGAGTTTCACGGAGACAGGGAAGAGCGGGATACGTTTACACCCAGAGTATTCACTGGGACATACATAGGCCAAAAAATCATTTATCGCTTCCCTGAAATTCAAACTTAACGGAGCGTTCTCCATTCTACTGGCCACCCTGACGGCAGCCGCATTAGACAACACAGGACATTTCTGTCGCTGCAAAGGACCGCCTGAAGCACCTGTTCCTCGTCTGCAGAATGGGGCTAAGACCCCACCCACCATGCAGGGTCATTAGGCTTCAAAAAGGGGACGTACACCAAGCTCTCAGCCCGTGAGCCAGCGAGTGCGGGGACCTTCTCAGACACCCAGTCCATTCCCGAATCCCTCGAAGTCGTTCAGAGGGGACACGAGGGGCCGAGGGAGGAGGAGGACAAACAAAGTTACCGTGGGCCACCCATCCGTGTCTGCACTGCTCACACCGGCGGTGGTGGATCTTCCCGGGTGTGAAACCCTGGCAGCTACAGTTCAGGGTGCAGCTGATCGCCTGCAAGAGAGAATGGGGCCCGCGGCCCGTGAGTGCTGCGCCGACGCGAGGCTGCTCCTGTGACACAGGACGCGGGCCTCCCTTCGCTAACGCTCCCACTCTGTGCCAGACGCGGGCGGGGACCCCGCACTCGGTACCCAAGAACAGCTGGCCCCCGGGGCCCATGGAGGGTGCCCACATCCCACAGCTGCTCTGCGGGAGAGAGGGGGCTAGGGACCACCACCACGCTCTGTAAGGAAAGTTCTGGAAGGAAATATCTTGCTTGTTACTTTTTTCAAAAAATATTTTATTTATTTATTTATTTAAGAGCAGGAACACAAGCAGGGGGAGGGGCAGAGGGAGAGGAAGAAGCAGGCTTCCCGTTGAGCAGGGAGCCTGGGCTCCATCCCAGGACCCTGGGATCATGACCTGAGCTGAAGGCAGACGCTTAAATGACTGAGCCACCCAGGTGCCCCTTTATTTATTCATTAGAGAGAGAGAGAGAGAGAGAGAGCGTGCGAGCGTGCGCGAGAGCACAAGCTGGTGGGGGCGGGGCAGGAGAAACAGAGGGAGAAGCGGACTCCCTGCTGAGCAGGGAGCCTGACTTGGGGCTCAATCCCAGGACCCTGAGATCATGACCTGAGCCAGAGGCAGATGCTCAACTGACTGAGCCCCCCAGGTGCCCCCTGACTGGTCAGTAAGAGCACAGAAAGGGTGAACAGTCACCAATCTCTTAAGTCAAACAAAGTGGTGGCCCCTGAAAGTTACATGGGGACTGTCCCAGAACAAGTGAGAGAGAATGGTCTGAATGGACAATTATCCAAATGTGGGCATGGTTATTCGCCCCCACCGCTGCCCCCAGACGTGTGGTGAGGAGAAAAGTCCAAAGAGATGGACAACGTGCCGTGGCCAGACACACTGAGGACAGCTCTCCGGTTCCAGCCCTTGGGCTGCGTGGCCACCGAGGCCTGGCCAGGCTGGCGGCCCCAGGCACACGCCCAGCTGCACGTTCAAGTTCACACGGCTGAAACACAATACACACAAGTACGTGTTCGTTAAGTTCTGGTGTTGAGAACAAAGCGTCCCATATATTTTTAGGATGAATTCCTCCAAAGGGGATAGAGGTCTGAAGAATGTGAAGTATTATTAATGAGAAAAAGCTCTCCTAGAAGCTGTGTCAGTGAGGCTCCCAGGAAGGGCCGCTGGGTGGAACCGGCATGAATAAGGAGAGCCCTGAAACTGGGGTGTCCGTGTGTGTCTGGGGGGGACCTCCCTCTGTCAGTTAAAGGACTCTGTGGGCTCCTGTGGGGACAGGTAAGGGGACGTTCTGTCCCAGGACTTGGGAAACTCACTTTAAGGAGTATTTAACTGTCTTCACTTAAAAACCAGTAGCCAGTGGGAATGTAAAATGGTGCAGCCACTTTGGAAAACAGTCTGGCAATTCCTCCAGAAGTTAAACATGGGCTTACTGTATGACCCAGAAATCCCACCCCTAGGTAGGTGCCCAAGAGATATGAAAATATAGACCCTTGTAGAAGCTAGTACCAAATGTTTCTGGCTTCCTTGTTTATAACCGCCAAACAGTGGAAACAACCTCAACGTCCGTCAGTTGATGAGCCGCTAAACAAAATGGGGCACTGCCATGCAGTGGAGTACTACTTAGCCGTCAAAAGGAACGAAGTGCTGACATATGCCACAGCATACGTGAACCCTGAAAACACGCTCGGTGAAATACCCAAGGACAAAAAGTCACAGGCGGTAGGATTCCATTGACATGAAAGGTCAAGAAGGGGTCAGTCTACTGAGGCCAGAAGCAGACTAGCAGTGACCAGGGCTGGGCAGGAACGAGGAGGGATGGTTAATGGGTGGCAATGGGGGGAGAATATTATTCCTTTTGTTTGTTTTCATCTTTTAAAAAATAGTTTTAAATTTAGACACAACTCAGATATCATACAATTCACCCACTTAAAAGTATCCAACTCAATGATTTTAAGGATATTCACAGAGTTGTGCAAACATCACGATCTGATTTTAGAACATTTTCCACATCTGCAGAAGGAGCACTGTGTACAAGTTTATGGTGGACATAGGTGTTCATTTCTAAGTCTTCCTAGGAGTGGAACTGCTGGATTGTATAGTAATTCTGTTTAACTGGAGAATCTGTCAAAGGTTTTTCAAAGTGGCTGCACCATTCTACTTCCATACCAGCGATGTGGGAAGGTTCCAATTTCTCCACGTCCTTCCCAACACTTGTTGTCTGTCTGTCTAGAAACAGCCAGCCTAGTGGGTATGACGTGGTATCTTACTGTGGTTCTGGTGCGCATTTCCTCAATGGCTAACAGCGATCAGTAACTTTTCATGAGCTCATTGGCCATTCATTTGTAGGTCTTCCCTGGGGACATGTCTGTTCAGATGCTTTGGTCATTTTTTAATTGGGTTGTTTGTCTTTTAGCACTGAGTTGTAAGAGTTCTTTATATATTCTTAGTACTAGTCCCTTAACAGATGATGATTTGCGAATGTTGTCTCCTGCCCTTAGATGATCTTTTCACTTTCTTCGTGGTGCCCTTTGCAGCACAGATGTTTTAAATTTTGACCAGAGTTGCTTTTTAAGGTGAAGATGTTCTGAAATTACATAGTAGTGATGGTTGCACAACTCTGTGGATATAGGGAAACCACTCAGCTATAGACTTTATAGGGATGAGTTTTATAGTCAATAAAAGTATATCTCAGTAGAAATACTACTGAAAAAACCAGTCCTCGACATGCCTATGAGAATGGCTGAAGTCCAGAACCCTGACAACACCAAATGCTTGTCAGGAGAGCAACAGAAACTCTCATTCACTATTAGTGGGAATGCAAAATGGTGCAGCCACTCTGGAAGACAGTTTGGTGGTTCCCAACAAAACTAAACATACTCTTATCATACAACCCAGCAATCACGCTCCTCGGTATTTACCCAAAGGAGCTGAAAACATATGTCCACACGGAAACCCGCACGTGGATGTTAGAAGCAGCGGCTTTATTCATGATCGCCAAAACCTGGAAGCGACCAAGATGGCCTTCAGCAGGGGGATGGGTAAGTACACTGTGGTCCCTCCAGACACTGGAGTATCACCCAGCGCTAAAAAGGCATGAGCCACCAAGCCATGAAGAGACATGGGGGAACCTTAAGCACATGTTACTAAGTGGAAGAAGCCAGTCTGAAATGCTGCACATGGCATGACTGCAGCTACATGACCTTCTGGAAAAGGCAGACTATGGAGGCAGTTAAAAAGATCAGTGCTTGCCAGGGGTTAGGTAGAACCCAGAGGATTTTTAGGACAGTGAAAATACCCCGTACAATACTATAATGATGGGTATGCGCCATTATACATTAGTCCCAACCTATAGGAGGTCCAACACCGAGAAAGAATCCTAAAGTAAACCATGGGCTTTGGGAGATGATGTCGTGTTCGTGTAGGTTCATCAGTTGTCACAGGTGTGCCCTCTGGTGGGGGATGTGGATAAGCCCGTAGCTGTCCACGTGTGGAGGCAGGGGTATATCGGAAATCTCTACTTACAATTTTGCTGTGAATCTAAAAGTGTTTTAAAAAATAAAGTCCCCCCTCAAAGTCAGCGACTTTGCTTAAGTACAGGCTAAAATCTCCCTGATGTGATGGCTATCCCTGACTCCTTTCAGATTACCACCAGCCTCAACAGAGCGACTAGACGAGATTTTCAGGGGAAGGAGCAGGGCTGCTCATAGCTGCCGATAGTAACGGTGTTCCCTGATCCCTTCCAGAAGGATCACGACACAGAAAAGAGAAAACATGTATCCGAAAACCCATTTGCTCTTTGTAAAGCCATACAACATCCTACAAAGAACCCCCTGTGATCACCAAGACCTTACTGGAATACTGCGTTCACTCTTATCAGGGGTGATACCATCTGAATGGGGTGAAAATTAGTTCTTGGGGGGGAGGTGAAAAAATATTCTTTTTATGTATGAAACACAGATACACATATGTGAACAGAAACGTAGCATATAGTATCATACTAAAATTTCACTGGGGAGACACAATTAGGAAAAAAAAAAACCCTAGTCTCCTGGGGCGCCTGAGTGGCTCAGTGCCTTGAACTCAGGTCATGCATGATCTCAGGGTCCTGGGATCAAGGCCCGCATCGGGCTCTCTGCTCAGAGGGGAGCCTGCTTTCCCCTCTCTCTCTGCCTGCCTCTCTGCCTACTTGTGATCTCTGCCTGTCAGATAAATAAATAAAATCTTTAAAAAAATCTAGTCTCCTAATGAAGAAAGGATGGAGAAATGCTGTGTCAGGTATCATTTCACCTTTCGGTTAGAGAGATTCTGCTCCTAGAGACCGGTACAGGTGGCTGAACACAGGAACCCACACATCTGTATTCCTAGACACATGACATGCTATCCCTCATCTGGAAAGATAAAAATGAGTACCGGTTAAGTTCTATGACACACGGTCCCAACAAGAATGTCCTGTTGTCTGTAGCACAAGTGTGCTGTCCAGATTTCTCAAACAGCCCGGTGACTCTGAGCACCGGCTGACCCTGGAACCAGCCATCTGCACTCTCAGCAGCTCCCGGGATACTCCGTACTGAGCCTCTGGACTATTTCACAACCTACATTCTGATAAATGTGACTGCTTTAAAGGAAAAAAAAAATTTTAAAGATTTTATTTATTTGGCAGACAGAGATCACAAGTAGGCAGAGAGGCAGGCAGAGAGAGAGGGGGAAGCAGACTCCCCGTGGAGCAGAGAGCCCGATGCGGGGCTCGATCCCAGGACCCTGAGATCATGACCTGAGCTGAAGGCCACTGAGCCACCCAGGCGCCCCTAAAGGAAATTTCTAAAAGGAGAAAAAAATTCTTATTTTGGATCGTGTCCCTCAAGATGCCAGTCGCTGTTTGTAAGCAAGACGCCAGAACCACACAGAGTAAATTCACACTCATTCATTCAGAACACAGGACCGGCTTCAGGCACAGAAAGGTGTCCAGGAGCACACACCTCCTTCCTTTCCTGAAGATTTTGCTTAAAAGGCTCTTGCTCGGGCAAAGCCCCCGGAAGCTCCGGGTGAGTGCACTTCAGGCCCGGCACGAGGAAACCTACTACAGGGAAACGATCCCGAGCACATTTCATGGCCCAAGACTGAAACTCACTTTTTCTGTGTCTCTCTGACACCGGACTCCGGGTTCTTCAACTCCAGACGGATCGACATCCTGAGTCACATAATCCTTTGCGGTGTCTATCCCGGGCATTGTGGGGTGCCCAGGAGCACCCCTGGTCTCTACCCACCAGACACCACAGAAACGCCTCTCCCTCTTCCAGTTGTGAAAACCGAAAACCTCCCCAGATGTGGAGCAAAACCGCCTCCAGGTGAGACCCATCAGCCGAACCCGATTATTCAGTTTTGCAGCTTTTGGTTTGGGGACAGAATTTTAAGCAGCATTATGGATAAAATTCAATGTATGAATGCTGTTTTATAAGAAGTACTCGTGGCTCTATATGAACCTATTTGAATAAGGCTTAATAAAGCTCATTAAACATCTATGGAAATAAATCTCAGAGGAATTATTTATGAGCTAAAAAAAACTAATTACAGTGCCTCGGAAAACTTCCAATATTAAGGCCCTTGAGTTTTTCCACCCATATCAGAATTCCACGATGTGGCAAAAATTATAGCACCATTATCTAAAGACAAATTAAAACTTCTAAAATGAAATCAAACCCCAAAATTCTAATTACAGGACGAAAAGTACTCATGCAAATCATTATGGAAAACTCTTTAAACTTACATCCTTTACCCTGGAATCCTAATACTTGTTCCATTCTTCAGAAACATAAAGCAGATGTTTACAACATTCTGAACTCATCAAGACATGATTATTGCTTTTTACGCACTCATTTTAATCAGACTATTTCCGAATTGTTATTAGTCACTCTGATGTGCTATGAATCAACATTCAAAATTCTGGTTTGCTTTTTTGTAGTTGTCTTCAGCTCCCTCATTCATCCAGAAATGAGGGACACACCTGTATCGTGATGGATGCGTCCGTGACTTGCAGTCTTTGGGACAGAAAGTTACAACCTCGTTTTTTAGAAAGACTTGAGGGTCCCACTTCCTTCTGCAGACACCCCTGCTCCACTTTCCATCTGGGGAGATGCTGACGTGAGTTCTTAGCCGCTGGCTGGCCCAGGCACACGGTGGGATCCACGCATGGACACTCCCCAGGGCGGGGGTGGAGGGGCCAGCAGGGCTCTGATGGGATCTGGATGCTGAGCTTCCGAATAAGAACTGTCCACTTCAAAGCTGATTTTATCTCTAGTGCATGCAGGTATTTTCCTATCCCTGAGGATAAATGCAGGGGGATAGTCTGGGGGACAGAATGCGAGAGGAAGGAGAAAAATTATAGAAGACCTCAGGGGGCTTCCAGACTTGGTGCACTGATGCTTTGAGGGCGCATCTGTGGAATGGATCGGATACAAAATGAAACTGTGTACCTGCTGGACAGCTCTGTAGGCTCAGGCGACTCGGTCTGCCCTATCCAGCATGGCAGCCACTAGCCACATGTGCCTGTCTAAGTTTATTTTTAAATTATTTTTATTTTTTAAAATTATTTTTGAGAGAGAGAGAGAGAGAGAGAGTGTGTGTGTGTGTGTGTGTGTGTGTGTGTGCATGTGCATGAGCAGGGGGAGGGGCAGAAGGAGAAGCAGACTCCTAGCTGAGCGGGGAGCCCGAGGTGGGATTCCATCCCAGGACCAGGATCCCATCCCAGGATCATGACCTGAGCCTGAGGCAGATGCCCAACTCACTGAGCCACCTGGGAGCCCCCACCTACTTAAATTGAAATGAATAAAAATGAAACAATGAAAAGTTAAATTCTTTGGTCACACCAGCCCCATTTCAAGTGCTCAGCAGACACATGGGGTTCGCAGCTACCATACTGGCCAGTGGAGATACAAAACACTTCCACCATCACAGAAAATTCCACTGGACACTTGTGAATCCAGTGGTGACACTGGATGTTCTCCCAGCACCTGCCCTACTGCGTGGTGGCGTGATTTCATAGCTGTTCTCATTCGACCCTCAGTACAATACTGCGAGGAGGGCATTCTTCTCAGGAAACTTGTATTTATGGAAGATTCACAATTTCCCCAAAGTCCCCCAGTTGGTGAGTTTTCCTGAGTTCACTGCGTGTGAGGCACTGCACTAAGTAGCCCCTGTACTGTCTCGTTTCTTCATCACCCCCTCCCGGGAGGCAGGTACAAATGCCCCCATTTTATGGACGACGAAGCAGAGGGACTCACGGGTGGTCAGGGCAGACTCCAGTCTGGATACTGGAGGTAGGTTCTATCTTGAAATATCACTATTTGGGGCTAACACTTATGGTCTCACTTAATTCCTACAGCAACTCTGAGAGTCAGTCATTACCATCCACATTCCGCAGATAAGGACATTGAAGTTTCACACTGTAAAGAAACTTCGCTTATAATAATATAAGAATACATAGTTACCAAACGTTAACGAGCCAGGCATCGTTCTAAACACTGGGGTTAAAGTACTGAACGAGACCAATGAGGTGCCTGCCCTCCAGGGGCTTATAATCTAAAAGAGACAAAATAAATAGTACAGTTCAGAGTAAGGTAGTGCTGAATAAAAAGAACAGAAAGCCATGCCAGCAATTCTACTGGGTAGACTGGAGGGGGCGTGGTATAAGTAAGGGGACTTAGATAAGATCATCATTGAAGACTTTTGAAGAGGTGACATTTGAACTGAATCCAAAGGACACCAAGGAGCCAGTGAAGAACTGGAGAGGGAGGAAGTGTTTTAGGGCAGAGGGCATGGCCAGTGCAAAGGCCCTGGGGTACAAAGAGGCTCAGGGAACAGAAAAGGAGTCAGTGTAGATGGAATGAGTTAGTAAGGTTAACGGCAGAAAATGTGGGTCAGAGAGGCGGGAAAGAGCACTTTGCTTAGGATCTTGTGGGACAGGCCAAGGAGTCCTGATTTTGTTCTAAGTAATCTTTTATTAAAAAGAAAATACAAAATGAGTTTGATTTGCCTGTGTTAAAAAGAACCCCTCTGGATGCAGAGGTGACGAGCCTGCACTTCCTGCCCTTCACCACAATGAACATCTTCCACGGGGAGGCAGGAAAACCTAAACTGGCTTAGAAGACTTGGGTCTTACTTCCCATCTGCCAGAGAACCTTCAGCTCCATGCCGTGGAGCCTCCGCCTACAAAGGGCTGGGTTTCCGTTCCTGCCAACCTCAGAGGCCTAGTCGCCATATTAATGAGGATGTACAAATACGAGCTGAAAAGAGCAATCGGTACGATGAGAGTGTCGTTGCGACAAGGCCCACACCAAGGTTCTTGGGTCCTCTGGGCTCTGGTGGTCTGACTTGGCACAAACAGAGCTACCAAAAATACCTATTATAAAAACATCCACAAACATTGCGACACAATGATTCGTTCTGAAAAGAGGCAAGGAACCCACTGAATCCTAAACTAGCACCCAGCAGCTAGCACGGGGCTTGGTAGCCTGCAGGCCCCTCCACTGGGATGAGCTGAGAGAAGAATGAGGGAACGAATGAGGCAGCAGCGCCATGCTCATTAATTATAGATGCCCACCCAAAAGCCTTTAGCCGGATCTTCCTTTCTGAGTCTCTGTGGGTGGCCAGGTGACTAAGCATTGGCCAGTGGTAAGCACGTGGAAGTTGCTAGGCGGAGCTTTACAGAAAGCTCCTTGTAAATGGGAGCTGACTCAGCAGAGACTTCTTTACTTGTCCTCCTTCTTCATTCTTGGAATGAGAATATGATGGCTGGACTGGAGAGGCCATTTTGCGACCACGAGGCAACTCTGAGGCCATGCCCTAAGGAAGGCTGCACACAAAGGATGGTGACTGTTAGGAACTTAGACTAGCAGCAGAAGGTAGTTCCTAATTTACACACCAACTGTCCTGCTGGCTGTGGAAAGAGCTGTGTAAAAAATCATGTGAAAAGTGGCTAACGAGGAGAAATCACCGAGGCCAAGTTTAGAGCCTGTGGTCGTCTTGTAAGTGTGAGATTCTAAGGCTGTGCCAGATTCTTGGTGTTAAGAATCTTAACTCCCTAACTTAAAAAATCAAGGATCCAATCTGCAAAATCACAAACCACTTTTTAAGTCACCAATCTTACAGCATAAAACTGCTTCAGGTTTTTCCAAGTTGTATTTTTAAGTGTTGATACAGACAATTGTTAATATGTTTGAGTCTTGGAAGGCTGCAGTTCAGACCAAACACTGCCAATCAGGATCTATACCACACAGCGTCTTCTAAGGGCCGCCCTCAACTTGTGGGGTGAGGACCTGGTTTCTCCCACAGTGAAGCTGTCACCCCATTCTCACTGTGGCTACAAGGCTAACCTTCGTGGTTGGGGACACTGTGTCATTCACGGTGGGAGGTCTCTTCCAAACTGTCCTTTGGGCCTCTCTGGATCTACCTCTTACACACATTTTGTAATTTCTTATGTCTTTTGTGAGAATCAGATTTTTTTGCTCCCTACCTCCTGTCCTCTCCTTTTCCTGTGGCTTCTTTCAATTTTTAAGTTTACCTTCCATATGCAAATCCACAGAGGTACAACTAGGATTCTGAACATAGTAGCCCCATTTGCGAGATGGGCAACAAGGACACAGGGGAAGAAGAGAGGAGAAAGGCCACGAGGGAGGCAGCAGGTGGCACTGGATCCGAGGCGGCCTGGAGAGAGACACAAGACCAGACATCCGTCTCATGCCATCTTCCTCCGTGAGCAGTTCAACGAAATGATGTCAATTTATTTAACAAATTACTTTTGTTGTCACTGAGTTTTTATTTGTTTTTAAAGCATCTACTATGTACTGGTAATTGTAGGGGCCTCGGGACACAAACACGAGGAGCTCAGCATCTGCCCTACGGGAGCGCACGTCTTCACGGGGGCAGCCAGCTGTACAGCTCGACTGTTCAAGAACCAAGGAGGAGAGAATACGGCTCCTCAGAAATTGGCGTGAGTCATTCACTGTATTAAAACCAATTCTGAAAGATACTAAAAACAAAAGAGAGGTTCATTAGCTGCCTTTAGGGAACCGATGAATTGTTCCTCAAACTGGCAAACGGAGGGTAAGAATCAAGTCTGTGTCTTTCTCTTAATACAACTGTGTTTCGGAATAACCAAACCACTGATGAGACAGAGACTCCCTTTCCAGAAGTGTCCAGGGAGTGAATGAAGGATTACGGCCCTGAAACTCCTGGTGTAATAGATGATGACCAGGCCATCTGCCCCCGATGGGGCATAGGACCACATAGGACCACGGACGGCGTGTTCTTGTGGAAAACATTCAACCTGAATCCGCTCAAGCCCCTGGGTCAACCGCGGTGTCCGGAAAATACAGGGCCAGAGGAATAACACGATGTAAACGATACCAGGAGGAAGCAATCACTAGTCCAGCCTGGGGAGCATTCTATAGGACAAATGAACCAGCATTTCCCACAGTAAGACTGCAAGGAAAAAAGTGTAGACTGACAGACAAAGAGGGACCCTGGAGGGAGGGACCTTATCTGGATCTTGACTTGGACGCACCAGTGGGTAAACTAAGGCTTGCCAGACTGTCAAGGACAATTGGACATGGACTGGGAATTTAATGACACTGAAGAGTTACGGCTAATTTTTTTAGGTGCTCTCTGAGGCTGGCGGAGGTGCGCTCTCCTCACCATGTGCAGGAAATGCCACGGTCCTAGGCTCATCCTGGCCCCGTGTGTCAAGGCCCGAGGCCAGGCCACAGACCAGACGTTTCTGCCCTGGGCCGGGGAGCACACCTGGAGAGGCCATCCAGTGAGATGGGCGTGGGCTGTCCAGATGGGCGTCTCTCAATTGGCTTCATGGAACCATGTGGATTCCCACAAACAAGGGGACACCCTTTACCATGAGTACAGTTGAAAAAGGGCGCCAGGAAGCCTCTCACACCCGGTAGGCAGCCTTTGCAATACAAAAACAACACTGGAGAATTAATCGAGTCTGCTTTCTCACTGCCAGCATGGGGAGGGGGTGAGAAGAGAGCATGGAGAAGGGTCTGGCAGCGGAGGGGCGGGGGGGAGGTAGAACCCAGGGCACAGATGTTGGGCCAAGTCTACCTGTGAGTAGAAAGTATGCGTGACACCTTTGCCTCATTCTCTTGTTGCTTAGTTCAAAGAGGATGGTGGGGAAAATACTTGTTCTTTTGATCTCTATAAATCAAAGTATAAACACTGTGCCAAAATAATTTAACAGCTGTGCCCTTTTTTCTTAAAATTATTAGTTCTGAAACCAGAAAACACAAAAAGTAGAAAAATATCCAAATGCTATCTTATGAACCAAGTATTTCTTCATTAAAGAAAAAAAAGGCAACCTAACAACAACAAAAAAACTATACAAAATACAAATGACATGGGCACAATTTTTTTCCTCCTTTATAACCTAAATTTGGGAGGACCTCAGGAGCGATCTTTAGAAGCCTTTGATAACAAAAAAAAAAAAGAGGGATGTTAATCGTGTAGGAACTTATGAATGAAACAGAGCTGGAGGGGAGGAGCGGAAGAAAAAACAAAAACCAACACACACACAAGACATTTATATGTTCGGATAATTTTAACTAAGGTGGCCAGCTACCCAAGCAAGCAGCTTTGTGTCTAGTTCCTGCTACTTCAAGAAAATGATGAAACTGTGAAATTTCTATGTAAAATTCTGCAGATATTTCTTTCAAGGACTTAACGAGAACTAGATTTTAAGAATGAAGTGTAAAAAAAAAAAAAAGAAAGAGAGAAAGCGACCTTAGAGTTTCAAAATGAATTTTTAAAAAGGAAAGGACCAGCGTTAGTGACTTATGCCATCCTGATCAAAGCCTTAAAATCCAGAAAGTTCAAGTGGTCCGTAGAGAGATTTTACCTTCGTCATGAATAAAGCAAAGAGCAGTCAGAGGGCTACAGAACTGGGACAAGGCTTCTGGAAGCTGGTGGAGGGCTGGAAGATAGTTGTGATGTTTGTGTGAGTGTGTGGAAGGATCATACAGTAGTATGTAGGACAACACAGGCGAATACAGCCATATACAAGAAAAAGTTAGTAGTCTGAATTAAAGCTTTTCCTGAACTGAGACAACCAGTTCCCTCCATATTAGGTGAGTGAAATTATCATCCCCCAAGGCAAACTTCTCCTAGGATGTGTTAGGCTGGTTTATAAAAATGAACCAGAGCGCGGAGGAGAATGGCGAGAGCCCTCTGGCCCGCTTCAACTACACAAAGTTTGGGAAGGGCCCCAGATCGGACGGCTCTTTGTTCTGTCCACCCTTTCCGGGATAAAGTAGACATGTGTCCATGCAGCGAAAGTGGGCTGCCCTGGACACCTAGCATTCCCAGAATTAAGAAAAAGAGCTTCAAAGAATGACAAGGTAAGAGGAAATAACGTTTTCAGGTGGAAACCAATTTAAAAGAAAAAAAAAAACTTACAAAACTTTCCAGATGTCTCTTCTGCCCCGAATCAAGTTATTTTTTAACATCTCTCAAGATAAGTCATCAAAAAAAAAAAAAAAGGTAATTTTTAAAATCTGCAGGAGGATATTCGGAATAAGATAATTAAAAAAAGATTACAGGCTCTCTAAATCTTGATCTTAGATATTAGATAAAGGAAAAAACATGGGTGGCTCAGCACTGAGATTTCATCTTACCTGGGGTACTTAGTTCTAGTTCTTTTTAAACAGGGCTGTTTCTGACAAAAGCAACTCACTCTAAATGACATCTGTAGAAGTGAAAATTCACCCTGGGGTAAAGCACGTTCCCCCTGCAAGTAATTTACCCTGTGGAACCTACAGGGTGACTCTTTTAACGGCCACTGTCAAAATAACTTCTAAAGCCATATACACAGGCTAAGACACTTCTGCCCCTCATCCTTGTGGTTTAGTTTTACCGGCAAACTGAACTTTTGAAATGTTTACACTTATCCCTAGGCATTCATAAATGATAACGGGATGCTTAAAGGACAATGATTATTTGTTCCACCCGGAAACTTGTATGGCTTTTCTCACCCAGTGGGGTGGATCTTCCTTCTTCCCAAGCTGATGATTCTGAAATACAGAATATGGGACTGGGATACAGGCCTAACTGCTTCAAGACAGAGATGTAAAAAGGAACCAATGAATAAAAATCACGCCCCATGCAAACCTTATACTTCCAATAGGAATTATTTCATGTGGGTTAATATTTCTAATATGAATTATAACGAGAGCAGACAGCCTAACGAATATCAAAAGCCACAGAACCCCTCCCCGCTAACCACTTTCGGACTGGAAGAGGGGCGTGTAGCTAAATCCTTACTGCTCTTGAGGGCAACAGCATTTATGGGTACAGATGATTTTCCAAATTAAATTATGCAGATGTCTGAACATAATTATGAGTTCCCGAAGCATAAGCCGTGTTTGCGCTCAGGGAAGAGCTCACCACCTTTCCTCGGCATTGAACTGTGACACCAACACGTTCAAATCGACAGCTGAGTTGAAATCCTTGTGCTTTCTTGGTGAAATTAAAGTTAGCGAGCCTATCCAATGAGAAAGTGAATGATGACTCACACCTTATTCTTTTAGGTCTGCCAGAAAGGATAAAGTTATTTATCAAGATTTATCAGAGCAAACGAGGTGGTTATCTTTCCACACCCAAAGAAAGCAAAAATCCAATCCTGGACAACTGGTCGTGTTTGTGAAGTCGTGTTTCACCAGACACACGAAAAGGCTATTCTGACACATCACACCGTGAATGAGGTTTTCATAATACATATCAAGGGATCTGGGAGGGGACAACAGAGGAGCCGGTACATTTACCACTGAACGAAAGTTTTAACACATAAGCACTTCTATGCAAGCAAAGCATCTAAGGGAGAGTATGAAAAGGTTCCACGAACTCTGCAAATTAAAACGATAACCGGGAATGAAAAAGGCACCAGAAAGAAAGAGAGAAGGTAATTTGCCAAATGCTGTTTTTCAATTCACTTTTCATAAAGCCAAAATCTTTGTCACTTTCATGAGAATATATTTTTAAAAAACTGCTGTTAGCTCTGCTGTGTCGGCCCAAGCTGCAGGAACACATGTCTTCCCCTGCACGCACACGCACACACACACTCACTCACACTCACTCACTGACAGGGATTCCCAGGACACCAGTGGGGCCTCTGCTAGGCCCCTTAAGTGTTAACAGCAGAGGCCTGGCTGCGACCAGGCGTCTGGCCCGATTTAAATGCCCTGTCTTCAGAGAACCGCGGTGAGCACGCGGCCATAAAACTAGGGAACATAACTGAACCTTAGAGTGTCTGAACGCCCGCCCCCCCCAACACACACAATTTTACTCCTACAATTAAGGCTGCTCGTTGGCATTCCATTTAACTGTCAAACTAGGACCGGTGGCAGCCCCACAGCCACAAAGGGATGCCTTAAATGAGAAGAGCATGTTCTTACACCGCGTTTGAGAAAGTTTGGCTCCGAGCTATGCGCTGATTAATATCAGATCTCCTCCTTCCCTCGCCTCTCCACAATCTTGTCACATCTGGCTGACAAATCCGTAGGGGCTGATGCAAAGCCAGGCGGCCGGCGGGGCTGGGGTCTGGCGGGCAACGCCCGAGGGGGCAGGGGACAGGCGGCGCCCCCATCCCGCTCCCCCCGACCCAAGTCCTGCGCGCCCCTGCCCCGGGAGCCGACCCGGCGCGGCGCCCCTGGCCGCCCGAGTTCCAGCCGCGAGCGCGCGGGCCCGGCGGTCCCCGCGTCCCTGGCGGAGCCGGGCA